CCATCTTGCACTAAGGTGGAGAGTGCAACTTCGAGAGTAGCGCCTGCCACATGGGAATTTTTTTTTTTGCGAAAACGCAAAAATAAAAGAACGATAAAAGACATGTTTTTGGATTTTTTTTTTAAGAAAAGACGAACAAAGTAAAAGCAACTAAGTTAGAAAACCTTGTTAGCCAAAGAGATTTTATTAGCACCTACTTAACAATTAACCTTGAAGCAGTAATATCGTTCTCTCCGTATAACATTGCTCATAATGAGTCAAAAATAACATTGAACAGTGGGAAAGCGCAAGAACCAGAGTTGCGCGGAAAAGCTGCGCGCAACTTTTGGACTTGCGCTTGGAGGGCGCGCACAATTTCTGAACTTGCGCTTGGAGGGCGCGCGCAACTTTGACAGTTGCGCGCACCACCTAGCAGGTTTGACATTTTTTTTTCAATCGAAAAAAAAATTATCAAAGTAATTTTCTTTTTTTTTTTGTCAAACCACAATTTTTCGAATTTTTTAATATCTCTAGGTAACAAGTTGGAATTAATTAGATTAAACACGAAGCATATAAGCACATATTCATGTAGTCACATAAGCACATAAAAGAACTGTCAAAGCATATAATGTCATTCTATGGTCAAGGCTTGAGTGTCCAAAGGTACCATATCTTAAGAATGATGCACGAACCAATCACTCAACGTGTTGACCCATGTCATGATTCTCCCAACATTTTGTTGGCGATTTGGGTGGGATGATTGTTATTGATTTCGGGATAGAAGCCTAGTGTTGGCGACCCCTAGTCAATGAGTCAATCCCCAATGGTTAAAGTGTGCTATGATTATGCATGATGCAATGTTGCCTTGTTATTTGGTTTTTACTTTTGTGAAAAAGGAAGATATTATGTGTTCAAGTCTCTCTCTCTAACTAGAGATTATCCAAGTTAGGCTTCGTTACAACTCATAGGTAACCTAAGTTGAAAACCTTGAACCATAACCAAAATCTAATCTTGTAACCTCTAACTCCCCAGTGGAGTCGCCACTGTGAGGAGGGTAGCCCGTCGTTGGGGATCCCACTTTCTCTATGCCCATGAACCTTTAAAAGCCTAGGACTTTACACTTTTGAAGGTGTGTTAGGATTTGAATTCCTGACTATTTGGGGGACCTTGAATTAGAATTGATTCTATCATTACGCTTTTTTGTAAGGAACTAATAAGGAGTCGCCAATGAGTTTTAGGGAAACTCATAAACCTCGTTCATGTCTTTCTCCCAAGTAAATTTCAAGGGATATTTAGCATGAATCATAAGTTTACCCATCCCCAAATTAGTCTACTTGTACCAGAAATGAGTTCGGGAGCGAGGGTACTAAAATAACGTTCCTTTTAGGGAGGAATCGTTATTCTAGCTCAAGTGCGGCCTCTACTAGCTCTTCCTTTTTCACAATTTCATCACCAAACAATATATGCAACATGATACCTAAAACTAAGTTAGTTCATTTTATTAACAAGCATTGATCACATAAAGATTACATTGCAACGAATCTCGTTATTCTTTGTTATTCAAATTCATGAAAAGAGCAAGAAATAAACAATATTCGCCTTGGCTTAGGTGATAAAACAATCAATTAATAAATCAAATTCTAGTCTTGATTAACGCAAGAATACTATGTGAAAATAATTAATTAAAGTTTATTTAAGGTGATCAAACAACACTAATTAATTAATTGAAGTTATTTAAACAAGAAAAGAAAAGTGATTTATCTAAGTGCTTAGGAAACTAACTATTCTCCTTTGTTTGCAAGATATATTTTTTGGATGTTTATGGACCTTCCTTCTTCTTAGTACCTCCAAGGCTTCAATGGAATAAATTAGGGTTGGAGAGTATTTGGGAAGAAAGGAGAAAAGTAGTATGTTAGTAAGAGGGTTTGAGAGATTAGGGATTTCACAATGCTAGGGTTTTAATTCTGATTTTTCCATTGTGTTTAGGTCTAAACGAAGAACCCTATTTATGGCGTATGAATCTAGGTTTAGGATTTTAGAGCCGCGACATCAGGTGGCGCGCGCAACTCTCAAAGTCGCCCTGGAGTGCCTAATGATATGTTCATTTTATATAGTGTTTTACCCTCGTCCCTTGGTCATAGTTAGGAATATTTTTGGCTCTTTTAAGCCACTTTTATTACTAATATGCGCTTTCTAGTGTTTTTGTAGTTTTTGGTATTGTTTTATAGGAAATTGCGGATTCGAAGCATTTTCCCGGACTTATTTGAGCCACTACGAGCATTGGAGTGGGATCGCATTATTATGACCATATTTCGTAGCCCGAGACCGCGTTGGAGCAATTAAATCGGTGATTAAGGGCTCGGTGAAGAAGAAGAGTTCGTGGCAATGGACCGAGTCTTAAGGACCCAAAGAGGAAATGTGAATTGGGCTAAGAAAAAGCCCAATTGAAGAAGTCCATTATGCTCGAGAGCTCGCCCGACCGGGTGGGTGTCTCGCCCTGAGGCGCGCCTGGCCGGGCAAGGCATACAGAAGAAAAGCATTGCTTCGCCTTGTCTCGCGCCCGACCGGGCGCGAGTGAAGATTCAATAGTCAAAAAGGCGGGCCCGGCCGGGCAAGATGGCGCCCGAACAGGCGCGTGTTTCTGAGGATGTTTAGAGACTTTTAAACTTTGTTTTAGCTTAGGTTTCCTAGCTTAAGTATAAATACGCTTTTGTTAAGCGGGTTTAGTACGCTTTCTACGTTTTTCTCATTAGTTAATTCTCAGTTTTTAGTTTTAGGGTTTTAGTTAATACTCTTATTTTCTCTCTACACTTTGAGTTTTATGCAATTCATTATTTTCGTTTATTTTGGTAATGATTTCTTCCCCGCTTATTTTCAATAATTTAATTGCTTTGATTTAATATGCTTTGTTTAATTGCTTTGCTTAGTTTAGATTTTATTATGTGTGAGTAGTTTTATACTAGGGTTTGTGGGGATCCATAAATAATATGAAAGGGTAATTTATTAATGTTGATTGTTAATGTTTCAGATTAATTTCCTATTGATTGATTTACTGCTATGCAATTAGATTAGCGCTGGTTTAATTGTATGAGTTATGCAATATTGATTCGAGATTCGAGAGATGAGAATTGATGTTTAGGCTTAGTTTTAATAGGCAGGTTAATTTATAAATGGTTAAGTCAAGATTCGAGATATGCGATTTAATACCGGTAGATTAATTCTGTGGTTGTAATACGTAGCGAAAGCCCTTTATAATCTGATTAATTTATGCATTGATAATTGATTGTTATGTTTTACCCTAGAATATTATTTATTGGTGAACCTATACCCTAGGCCTTTTATTATTGTTTTCCTCCCTTATTCATTTGCTTTAGTTTAATTATTAGTTTAATTCTCATTAAAAACAATTTAGTTACTTGATAATTTAGATTATTCTAATTAATTAGGAATATAAATACTTGTTTCCCTGTAAATTCGACCCTACTTCTCTATCTATTTTAGTTAGTGGTTTTAAGAATTACTTTTGATTAGGTGATACGATTTTAGCCTGTCACCGAGCGCAACTCTATGACTAGCGCGCGGCAGGCGCGCAACTTTGAGAGTTGTGCGCGGTGCGGTTTGCCTTATTCGAAAATGCGTTTTTAAAACTTCCATAACTTTTGATTTCCAAGTTGGATTAAGGCAAATAAGATATCATTGAAAAGGTCTGAATTTCTACTTTCTAATTCCGTTAATATTAGGTTAAAATATATTATGTACCAAAATATATGACCGTTTGAGTGAAAGGGTGTCGGTTTTAGGGCTCGGTTTAGTATATTGATGATAACTTCTTTGTTTTAACTCATAATTGGGCTTATAATATACCGTTGGAAAGCTCTTTGAAAGAGATATCCAACTTTATAGGCCATGAAAGGATATTATGTGATTTATTGTTCTGGTTGGCTCGTTTTTTTAACAATATAAAATCTATTTGATCCAATATAATCATTGCATTTGACGCATTTGAGTTCGTTATTAATCAATTTTAAACATGTATGAGCATGTTTTAGGCCTAATTAGTAATCGCACTAGGCTCTAAGATAATTTGGTCTCAAATACGGGTTTTAACTTACTTCATAATGCATTTCGGAGTCCATAAACACTTCAATTTTGATCGTCTAGCATGAAGAACGAGTTTTTGTAACATCATCGCACTTCCTGTCGGGACAGGAGGCCAAAAGTAGGTGTCTACAGTAGGCACAAGTTACCAAACTAGAAAAGACTACCAACTACCACGATAAAAAAATTAGACGTGCCATCTAGAGCCATATAACCTGGGTTAAAGACCTCAAGTAAGTTGTCTGCTTATTTAAGTAGGATTAAGGAAGTGTAATGACAAAACTATCACTTTGGTCTGAAGTACTCGGTAAAGACTTAGTGTCTTGTAAAGGCCTTAAAAACTATAATTTGTGATTGTTGTATATATTATTGTAAAATCACTAGTACAAAACTAACCTCAAGTAACACCCAAAAAGTGTTGCAAAAAGTGGCAAAAGTGTTATTATAGACAATAGGTAACACTTTAATGGGTGATACATCCGTCCATGTTACCTAAGGTTTTATGTAACACTTTGGACAACTTATGGTAACACTTTTCAAAGTGTTACTATATAACCTCTTATGTAACACTTTTTTATATCATTAGTATCATTTTTAAAGTGTTACTTTTTACTTTTTAAGTAACACTTACTTATCTTTAGTAACATTTTTCAAACATTATGTATCACTTTATCCGACATTATGTATCACTTTTTCAATCTAATGTAACACTTTGTTGATTATTAGGTAACATTTTTCAATCATCTTTTGACATATAGTAGCACTTTATTCGACATTATGTATCACTTTTTGCAAGCTAATGTAACACATTATTCATTAATAGGTAACATTTATTATTATTATTATTGTTATTATTACAACTACTACAAAATTAAAATCCAAGAAACACCAATAATTTGAATTGATAAAATTTAATAGTTTCTTACAAAAAATCCAATCAACACCAATTTTTTTTGTTTGGCTAAGTAATCTAATAAACAAAACAAAAAGAAAGTCATGAACTTCGGTCTCTAGACTAGACCGCTAGCAGTAACAAAATATTGCAGTAGCTAGCAGTAACAAAATATTGCAGTAGCTAGCAGTAACAAAAGATTGCAGCAGACAGCAGTGAAAGCAGCACGCATCAGCAAACCAGACCAGCAACTAACAGTAGCAGCAGACAGCAATGAAAGCAGCGCACAACACTAAGAGCAGCAGACATCCAATAGGCTCCAACTGAAGGAAGCCTTAGTAATCTCACACAATCAAAAGTACTTTCCTTGATGGCACCCATCCAGTAGGTTGTACCTGTAGGTCACATAAACTCCAGAAAAGACATAAATAAAACCATCACAAACTAGTTTTTTAGCTACTACCTCTACCAAATTCTTCTATGCATTTAAGCTACTGTCTCTGCCAAAGTCTATATCACAATCACGATCATGATGCCCAAGTAACACATGGGCATCTGTTTAATAAGTATCCACTAAAACTCTGGCAGGGCTCAAGTATGACATACATCAGATATTAATTCAGATAACGCCGCATAGGCCCAAGCAAAAATGAGAAGTAATCCGTAATACTAATACTCCTATTAGCTTATCTCTAATTCTCTATTCCTTTTCATCTTCTGTTTTGTTTAGAGTTGTTGAATCTATAAATGTACATAAAACATCTACTTAATAATAATACTCCCCCCTACCCTTTTGCCCCATGATGTATGCTCACTTTATTAATTTTTGGTTGTTTAATATTAATGAGAGAAGATAACGGTAGGTCCAAAATATTGCTTGTGAGAGTAAAATAATGATTCATTTATATACGGCATAGAGCAAAAAAAAAAAAAAAAAAAAAAAAACTTATTTGAAAATGTGCTAGGGAATTGTATAAACAGCCAATAGAAAGATATGTGGGTGTATAAATATAAGGCAGTGATATTGTGAATTTGACAAATATCGAGTTCTTTAGTGAGTCCAACGTTAAAAAAAGCTGTATAAAATCAAACATAAAATATTGTAAAGAAATTAATCAAGTGACCAAAGTTTGAAACCTTATATGCGTCATAATGAATTCAATTTCGTTTACTGCTTTTCATGAAATGAATACTTATTAAACGGATGTCCAAGTAACATGTTTTAGTAGATACTCATTAAACGGATGTCAAAGTAACATGCTAAAATGATATAGACTCGGAAAAGCAGGCTTTGACTCAGAGCAGAATCAGGCTATATCATCATCACAATCTATAGCAGAACCAGTTTTTTAGCTACTGTCTGCGACAAATTCTTCGAGGCTACATCATCGTCAGCACAATCTGCCAAATGCATAAACCTTTGTTGTGTAGACTTATGCATGTCATAGGACCTCTACTGGGCACTTTCATTGATTAGGATACAGGTTTAAGAGGTTCATACCTTAGTTAGGCAGAAATTATGATCCCACCTGATTGCAGATTCAAGTACCTGAGCACCTGAGTAGAGAAAGAGCACCCGATCACCTGACTTCACATAAAACAAAGTTTAGATTATTAATTTCTTCCATAATCTTAGTAGAAAAGGTATTGCAGGCATTAAGTTTGGTAATCATAGGATTCAGAACTACGACTTATAGACCAACCACCATAAGATTCCAAGGCATTAATTTTTTTTCCACGAATTTAAGCAGAAAGAAAAAATGAGAGAGAGTCGGGAAAAAAGAAAAAGCACCTGACTGACTGCAAATTAAAATACCTAAGCACAGAAAGAGCAAAAGAGCACCTAAGTGACTGCAAATTCAAATACCTAAGCACAGAAAGAGCACCTGACTGCACACAAACGCAATCTAGATTAATTTCTAACATATTCTTAGTAAAAGGGTAATACAACAGTAAAATAAATGTAATTTGGGTCCTGATGAAATTAAGAATGGCCCTCTAAATATTCAACAACTCATAGGTATTCAACTGCCACTATAATATCAAACCTCAATTAAATTCAACCTGCAAAATAGAGTCAGAGCTTCTCTGTTACACAACACTAAATCACTAACTTACAAAAGTCACACCACAAGCTTCTGTATTGCACAACCAATAACCAGCTTAGCCTTACAAACCTTACAAAAGGCTTTCGGAGAGAACTAGGAATAGGTGGATTTGCAGTTGTTTACTACGGTTGCTTGAAAGATGGGGTAGAAGTTTCTAAGTTGCCATTATTCTAAATCAATTTTGCACTCCCAAACAAAATTTACCGAATACATAATTAATTGTGCAACAATCATCAAATCGAGCATTGTGGTAAGAAAAAACACTAATTTATGAAATTGAAGAAATAAAAAAGTAGAAATTGGGGGTAATACCTGCAAGAATTAGCGAGCAGTATAAGCAGTCTGGCCAACAACGATTTCTTGGGTAGTGAATGAGTAAACAAAAATAAGGAATTATAGATTTCTGTGCAAAAATGAACTAAAACTATACTAGATTAAGAGGATATAGTCACATTCTGATTATCTTACAATTGCACTTAAAGTAACTTTGTGATTTTGATCCATAGCAAATATGCCCACACAATCTTTTTAGTTAGTTTCATGAGATATATTACTTTATTTAATGAATAAAGGAAGTAATAATGAATTAATTAAAACCTATGTTGTATAAAGTTGTTCGCTAAATGCAAATCTAGTCATGACAATTTCCCACTAGGATCCACATGGTTCAAAATGTGATACAAGAAACTTTAGCACAGGTAAAATCAAATCTTTCGGAGGCAATTTTGGCCAGCTCTAAATACATTTCATCTTTAGCATTACTAATCATTCCGTTGCACCAATCATACATCCAGCTTATATAACAATATTTAGGTTACCTCCACTACCATCAGTCAACAACTTATTGAACCAAAATTTATCACATTCCATTTAAAATAACCAATGCAAAGAGAAAATGCACAGATTAACATGATTAATCAATCAATTTAATCGAATCCAAAACAGATCTACTAGTTAATCACACCCCACATATAAAAAATTGTCAAGATTATAACTGTTATTGAAAATTATGAAAACCCAAATCACCAACCTCCAAACAATTGCAAATAATGGGAAAATTAAAGCAGAAAAGGTAAAAGTTTGTAACCTGATCACCAACTCTCTAGCGAGTGACATTGTTGCCAAATAGAAGGATAGTTCCATAACATTCAATTCTAGAGCAGGATAGTTCCAAAGAGCCCTTCCTCTAAATGATAGCTGCTTGATTAAGTGTAGTTGCTTCAAATTTGATCAAAACTTCATCGTCTTTGATTTGGGGGTCTTCTACCTCTTCTAGTTTCTATACTTCTGGACCTCATGGGCTTGTTATAACAACTGCTTTCATTACGAATCACCCATTTCACCAATTTTTATGGATTTTTGAGGAATGCCGGTGAATACCCAGAAATGATTGTTAGCATTTAGAGCTGACTAATTATACTAATCCCTTAACTAAAGTTTAATTATTAGAGTTAGAACCCTAAAACCAACACTCAATTCAATTACAAATTACCCAATTCAATAAATTAATTAACATATCAGAGTAATTTACAAAACCCCCAAATAAGAAATTAAGTATAATTGTACCCCCAATTCAGATTAAATCATAAATTTAATCGCTAAACCCAATTATACATATTTTTACAATCACAAATTCACAATTCATTAATCACAATTATGTTTCAAAAATTCGAAGCTTACCTATATAGTGAAGTGACGGCGTAGCGGTGCTGCGGAGATCAAGGTGTGGCGGTTGGTCGTGGATCGGTGGGTTCGACGGAGGATTGGTGAGCGTGGCGGTGGAGCGATAATCAGTGCTGACTCCTTATGGGAGCACGGGTTGCGATAGGGGTAGGTTGCGGTAGGTGGGGGCTACACTGTCGCACCGGGAGGGAGAAGGGGATAGCGGTGGAGCACCGAGAGCGAGAAGCTCCATCAAGCTTGATGGAGAAACCGAGAAATACGAGGGAGGAAGAGAGTTGAGAGGCCCTGAGTCTATGACGATTTTTTAAAAAAAAAATTATATAAACTTAAAGTACAACCAAATTTTACCTAATATCAAAGTGTTATTACAATCAAGTGCTACCTAATATTAAAGTGTTACTGTAAAGTGTTACAAAAAATGTTACCTAATTCAAGTATTCAATAATGTAACACCTCTTAGTGTTACCATAAAATGTTACTTTTTTTAAAAGTGTTACTATGGAGTGTTACTTATGTTAAAAGTGTTACATTGAGTGTTACTTTCTAATACAGTGTTACCTAAGTGTTACTTATTACTCTAATATTTTGCATTCAAGAAGTGTTACCAATTACATGTTACGTAAAGTCAATTATGTACTAGTGAATTTAGACTATGTTATTTTCATTTATACATTAGAGCAGCAATTTCAATCAACTACACACATCAATTCAACTAAACAGGACACCAGTTGGATGTTGAATGATAAAGAATTGAAAGATGTCTATTCATGCATGATGAGGTTCTAGCAGATATATGTACAATTTAACATCTCGAAACTATTTACAACAACAAGATATATTGATAATTTTCTAGACAATGCACAACCTAAAATTTCAAAAATCACCACATAATAATAGTCACAGAAGTTCAACATTCAAACAATGTTAATCCAACTCGAACTAAAGAACCTCACACCTCGATTTTTCGCCCATTGAAATCTACTAATTGGCAACAAAATGAAACAAGTCAAACAATCAAACAATCAAACACACATTCATTTGATTCTACCAACCAATATTCATAACATTTATCATTTAATCAACTAATATATGACATAAACACAATTATAACTTCAACTTCAACTTCAAAATCAACGTTAATTGCAAAAAACAAATTCCAAAACACTAAACCTTATCAGAAATGAGAAATTTTGGTAAAAAAATTGATTAAAAATCAGAAAACCACTCATCTCACCTTTCGTCGCCTTGACTCGGATGATGCTCTTCGACGCTGGAATCCGGCTCCGATTGAGCGGTTACAGCTTCCGCACTCGAAAAATTTCATAATCCCTAATCAGTTGCTGAAGCTCGCTGATCTCGAGTCTCTACCGCGGGCGACGGTGCTTCCGATGCTTGAAACCAGCGAAACTCTCACCATCACCACTCTAGGCAGCGGATGATGACCTAGGGTTAGGGCTAAGCAAAATTATCCGAAAAATCGAAAATCCGAACCGTAACCGAACCGAAAATTAGGGTACCCGTTTCGATAACCATAACGGTTCATGTACCCAATCCGATAATTTGTTATCGGGTACGGTAATTGGGTATCATTTTAAAATTAACGGTTACCCGATCCGATCCGATAAACAATTTTTTCTTTTTTTTCCTACTTAAATCTATTTATCCAAAATCTAAACTCTTACTTTACTTCGTAATCACTTTATAATTTAAATAATTAGTAATTATTAGTAATTTGGTCACGATCATGTGGTATTATTGTTGATTAGTGTTGAATGATATCATAATAACTAAATTATAAAGTCTAAATTTTTATTATTGGATATCATATTGGGTACCCAATAACCGATCCGAAAATCCGGGTACCCGTACTTATTGGTTCAGGTAATGGATATCATTTTTAGTGTTATTGGTTATCGGTACCCGAACCGATAGTGTTAACGCTACGGGTACCCGATCCATGCTCACCCCTACCTAGGGTTCTAAGTCGTCTTCTCAGAAACCGAGAAATCGGAGCAACGACGATGATGTAGAGACCTAGGAAAGATGCGTTAAGAGGAAGGAGAGAGAGGAGAAAGAAAATAATCTTTGAGGTGGTGTTGGATATTTAGAGTGTTGATGGTTGCGCGATCGCGACCATGAAGGAGCGCCCGCGCAAGTTAAGCGCGGCCGCGCAGTGAGCGCCCCTAAACCGCGTACCTCTCTGGAATTTGAAACTTTGGAAGGGTAAGGTTGGCGCGCCCACGCGTCATTTGGCGCGCCCGCGCGTCAGGTCGCGCCTAAACCGCGCCCCCTGCTGCCTTCCTGTGGAAATTTCGCATTTCTGATGAGGAGCGCTCGCTCCACCTGATGGCGCGCCCGCGCCTCCCTGTTTTGCGGTTTTTTCTGACGGTTGAGTCTTTTATTAAAAGGCTTATTTCGTGAAGAAAAGATATACAAATTTTCTTGATCTCCCTAAGCATTATTCTCCACACTTTTCTCTCAAATTTCTTGCAAATTTTTGTGAGAAAACTCTTTCAATTATTCCAAATTTTGTGAATTTGTTATCTTTAATTCGATTCTTAGTGCAAAGAACAATTGACTGTCTTTTGTATCTCAAAGAGTATTTCCGGATTAAACCCAAGCACCATTGTGGGGGAGATTAAACTCTTTAGGAAAGTGTTCACACGCCTAAGACAGTGTATCAAGGATTGAGACTCAAGTGGTCATAGTATTTCTCATGTTCATGTTCGTTCTTAAAGGCTTGGAGTTGAGGCAAGTGTAATATCTTTCACATTAGTGTATTTCTTTGTATTTTCTGTAATACTTTGATAATTTGGTGTTTGGTTGTAATATTTTGAATAATATTGATTGTTGTATAATCTAGTTGAATTATACTTCATTTTAGGTTTTGTTCCCACATTGATTAGTAGTTCTTGTTCTTGAATTACTTGAAAACCTAACAAGGGGGAGGGGCGGTTGTACATGTGATGATGTGAGTAATAATGTTAGGTTTTTTTTAGAATGGTGAGTGGTTCAGTGTTCAAACGCTTCTAATTACGATATTTGGAAGCGGTTCACTCGTAACGGCTCCCCATTTATATGTTTTAGTTCTTTTTTTTGGTGGGTTTTTGGAAGCGGAATTCAATAACCTCTTCTCATTTGGGGCCGCAGCCCAATTGCTTTTTCTACTAGTATTTTCATATAAAACCAAATCTGGAAATTATATTTATTAAACATCATTAAAAACATCATAATTTCATGACATAATACTTAAAATCAATAATTAATCAAAGCTTGATTGAATTTAAAAACAAAAAATATTTTTTTTAAACACCCAACCGCACGCACAAGATGGGTCGCTGCCACCGCACCCTCTTGGCGGCGGTTGCTGCTGCCGGTGACTGTTGGCAGCGTGGCCTGCCGGTGGGATGTGGTGGTGGTGGCCGGCCACCATGTAGTGTGTGTGTGGGTGGTGCGTGTGAGGTGAGGGAGATGGGGAAGTAAGGAGGAAAAATAAGAGGAGAGAGAGAGTTTACCACTTTGGGATTATCACCTTGGGAAAAATCTGATTTTTGCTTTTGGGTGAGTAACTATACTCCTCTCTAAAACCCTCTTCTTACTTGATTTTTCCTTTTTACACTTAATGACTCCCTTATAAATTAAATATGCCCCAAAGTTATTAATATAGATATAAAAAAATGTTTTCAAACTATTTTAATAATTACACTAATGGGTTTTCATTCAAAAAATCTTTTTAAAATGTTAAAATATCATAAATAATTCATTTAAATTATTTGAATATGTTATAAAATAATACTTTAATTTATAAACCGTATAAAAATACGGGTATTACATGCATGGTGTACTCAAGAGTATTGTTTTGCTCATTTGATGATTAAATGAGCAATAATAATATTATGCAAACGATAACTGTAGGTGCTCCGTGCACCCAGGTGTACATAACAAACTCTCGAAGGGAGTTGGAGGGGAGAGAAATGGAGAGATTAAATTCTAAGAAAATAATCGTCTAACAATGGAGAGATTTGAAAAGGAAAACTCATCCTAACTTCTTCTTTCCCCTTCCTATCCCTTCCCTCCCCTTCACCTTCCTTCCCTTTCTTTTCCTTCCCTTAATGTTACCCATACAAACTATAAATAATTTTTTATATTTTACGTTTGTTGTGAAGCAACTACTACCTCTGGTTTTTATTACTCGCAATAAAGGAATATTTTATATCTAACAAATAATACCCTTTTGTTGCGAGTAATAAGAAATGGAGGTAGTACATTTTTTATTGGTATAATTTACTAACACTTTCTTTGTAGGGCAACTTCGTATCCGTTTCTTATCTTTATAGGATTAGGAAATAGATTTTTCTTTTTTTAAAAAAGAAATTACAAATTAGATTCTTTATTACTTCGTATACTCTTACTTGTATAGACTTAAAATTTAAAATGTGATCGATCAACTAATGCAAAGTCTTAAGGCAATAAGTCAGCAAGTCAAGTGTGTTTTACTCCGGAAAACTTTAAGGTGCTAATCAAGCAGTAGCGGAGCCAAAAATTTCAAATCGGGGGACAAATGGAAGACATCGCATGATGTGGCAAAAATGTTAGGAAAAAAGAAATTGACACAAAGATAATTAAATAGCTGAAGTTTAGGTTGTCAAATACTTGAAATGGAAGACGTTGCATGATGTGGCAAAAATGTTAGGAAAAAAAAATTGACACAAAGATAATTATATAGCTGAAGTTCAGGTTGTCAAATACTTGACATGTAAATATCCTTTTTTTTTACTCTTTCTTAGATTATGGACTATGTATAATGTATGTTGATTTGTATTAATAGTAGTTACACAAAATTATTATTTACGAAGTATGAATTTACTGTATCGGATGTATTTATTGATTTGGGGGTTACTTTCCTTAATAACTTCCTATATTTTATGTTTGTTGTGAAGTAATTACCTTTTTATAGGAGTAGTTTCCTAACACTTTATTTGTGGGACAACTTCCTACCATTTTCTTATCTTTATAGGATTAGGATATGTAGAAAGAAAAAAATAATAATAATTGCAAATTTTGTATTGACTTGCCCGAGTCTTTAGGCAATAAGTCAACAAGTCAAATGATTGTACTCTAAAGAACTACTAGTCTACAACGTATAAAGGTAGCCATATGTCCATTAGTTATACTTTTCCATTTACAAATGAAGGTGTTGCAAGGCAGTCGTCATCAAATAACGTTATCAAGGTGACGAAACATAACTGCCAAAAAAATAAAATAAAATTGTGACATAATGCAAACCCTCTTCTTCCTGTTGCATCCATGTAGAGGTGGCAATGTGATTATTTAATTCAAATTAAACCTGGTTATTGGTA